GAGGAGTTTATCGAGTTACCCGAGGAAATAACAAATAACGAAGTTCTTATTTTTCCCACCGACTTGAAAGCCAATGTTAAAGTCTCACCCCATCTACACTCTCAGATCCCTGCCCCATGTTGGACCTTTCATCCGAAGCTTCACCCAGCAATTGCTATGACAGAAGTTAAAAGGGCATCTCCAACACAGACAACTCCGCCCAATAAGTTTATCAAGTCAACTTTAATCGAGCTAAGGTGTAATATTAAACTTTTAATTAAAAACAATCGAATTCTCATAATTCGTGGTTTTTTTTTTATTTCTTTGCATTTTCTAGCTTTTAATTGCGTATCTCGCTTAAGTGATGGCTCAACGATTATTACTGAGTTATCGTTTTTTATATTCTTTTTTAACTCGTTCAACTGTGATTCATTAATCGTCCTGATACTTTGGATTATGTAATATATACATTTTTTCAAAAAAAAAAAATAAATAATGGTGTACTAGAAAATTATTCATAAATAACAGCGGTTTTTGTCGATACTTAAAACCTCATGTATTTTACACAGATTTATCATACTTTACAGATGGTCCATGAGTAGCGTGTTTTTGACACGCGTGTGTACGATGTGTGTTGATACGCGTTGACGAGGGTCTCTTTTTCTCGTGGTGGTTCTAGGGAAATTTTTGCCAAAAGTACTAGATCCCTTTTATTACTAAACAGGGTAGAACGTTCCGACTATATGGCCATATATTGGAGTTAACACCATTAGAGAATTTTTCCATTCGAGGTTTTAATGGCCATATAAAGCTTCGAGCACTGTTTACAGCACTGGCTTTTGTTACCAGTGTGTTTATCATTTTGCGGTTATTTTACATTTTTTCAAAGTGCTACTTCATGAAATTGTCTATCCACAGCCGGGAGCGAATATCGTGAAATTATTCGAAAACGATGCAATCACTCGGTTATAACATGGAATTCACGCTTTACCGATAACGCAAGTATTTCTTTGCATCTCGTTATAGCAACTCCAATAACATTAAAGATTTTCTTCGCGAAAAATAAACCCACGACACGCACATTGGTATAAAACTCCGAAATCCTTCGAGACTTACCCCATTATCGAATTCTGTTCTTTCTCTCATCCCGTTATAAGCAAGCATATCACATTATTTATAATGGCATATAATTTTTTTTATTAAGGATAACCTGTTCATTTTATTTGCCAAACTTCTTAGTAAATTTTAATGATATGTAGATCGGCTTTTTTTGGTTTTTCTGAATTTTTGAGGGAGGACCAATGGGGTAGAAATAATCACACTAAATTGGTACCTATAACTTCGTCATTATTGGCACTTGGAACGATAGGTTAGGTTAGGCGCTTTCAATGTTATTATAATAATAGATCATTCATTTGGCGGAATGACTACTCAACAATACCAGAGCCTACAAAGTCCCGGCCGCTTGGGCGAAAGCAGAGTTTAACGTTAAATTTGTTCGCGTGCACAACCCAACGTTATGCGCCTGGATACTGCTTAGCTTACCCCGTAAAATAACCGTGACCACATGGAACGAACACTGTAACTTTGTTTCTCGAGTTTTTATGGTTTTTTTGACGTAACGGTTTGAAGGTTCCTGGAAGTGTAGTATTATTGCAGATGGGGTAGCTTTAAAATATTACTGGCTCTTACATATATATATGTACAATTCATGGATATAAGCTATTCAGTAACCTGAATTATGTATAGAGCAAAGCAGAGGAAGAAATGAGAGGCACAAGAAATATGAGATAGAGAGTTATTTATTACATGTCAAATCCCCCATTTGCATAAGTTGATTCAATAAAAATATCAAAATCCTTGAAAGCCTCGTTACTATCCTCCATGTTTTGATTCTTGGTATTTATTTCATTTTTTTTTTTCCTCCAATCATTCAGGTCCTAACCTAAACGCCCTTAATCTATTCGATCGGTTCTCTCCACCAGAGAAACGTCAAGCCTAATATCCTTGCTTTTATATTTTTTGTAAAGCTTCCACGACACGGACGTTGCTGCGCTGTATAAATTATACTCGCGGTCAATTGCAAACCGCCCCAAGCCACTTACTTCCAATGAACGGATAAGCTGACACTTAACGAGAAACTGAATTCAGGCTGTCGCGCGCAGTGTGTCTTTGTGATATTAAACCCACTTCCAGGAATTCTTTTCAAATCTGCTTGTTCTCGAAAAGAGATGTCTTGTTCTACATTTATGTTTTTCAAACTCTATACCTATAGTATATACATTTTATATACAACATAGTATACTGTAAAGACTCGACGAAATATGTCGAAATTTTACATGTCCATTTTTCTATAGAAACTAGATAAAAATTTCATAGAAGTGATTTCATAATTTTTTTTTAATACAATTTCTATGAACATTTTTCGCATCCCGCTAACGTTCACTCGATGTAATACATGGAAACAGTTGAAATACGAACATAGTATGTACAATGAGATTTTTCTGATTTCCATGCACTCACGTGTATTTTTGTACTAATGCGGTATCCGTATAAAATTCTTTATCCTTTTTTTTTTTTAAAAAAAGGAGAAGTAATTTCGTCATTTGAATATAAAATAGAAATAGCCATGCATGCTGCCTACAGTTTACGACTTCGTTTCTCCACTATTTCTTGTAGAAGGCGCACGCTGCTTTCCTACAGGGTTAATAAACGACCTTAGGGATTTGACTTCTCCTGGTGATTTCGCAGTCGCGCTAGACTTTTTCCTGATCCTCTGCCTGGTTCGCGAAGACATTACTGAGGATACGAATATCGGGAACACTGTTTCCTTTTTTTCACTCTCCATTTCCAACGATCGATTCCACTTACAAGTATCGATTTGAATTCTTATAGTCAAGCGTATAACTGACTGTTTAGTCGATCTGTAGAAAACCTCTATCATCAGTCGATAAGAACCATACTCGTCACTGTAAAACGTGCACGTACAACGTTTTACATAGAAATCCTACATAACACGTGCGATACATTTTTTCTGCATGAGATAAAGGCAATAAAGGTACAGTAGTACAAAGTGCAGTACAATTCCCTTTGGCACAGACGAAGATTGCCTTGTTGTAAATTTTATACGAACTTTAGTTTTTTTTTTGGGGGATTTCAGTACGTGAGATGCTAACCTCGCGCCGATGACGTCATGCGCAGATAAGATCTCATAGAAATTCGTTTTGGTCTCCTCCTCAAAATTCTTTTTATACCCAGTGACACTTAGTGTTACTGCAAATTACGAAAAGTCGCTTTTTAATAATAAATAATTTATAAAGGGAAACGAAGGAATATTTTTTAAGCAGCGAATATTAAAACTCGTCGAAACGTCAGAATTGATCGAAAACATTATTTGCATCGTGCAATACACATGCAGATGCAAGTGCAATAATTGATAACGATAATAGCCAAGGAGATTTACCACGCCATTAGGTATATTCTCCTCTAATTTTTTTTACATGGTTGCTTCGGATCATCCAGACAGCAGTGTGTGCGTGCGACTAACTAGATATTCGATTTGCTTTCTACGGCAATGAAATTAATCGAATCGAGCGATTTGATCGATCCGACAAAATTCATAAAGCCGGGCAGTCCTCGCGCCTATCATTACCATCTCTTTCAACGAACGAATGAAATCTGCCGTATAAAACGTGTTTGATTTAGAACGTCGGTATACACGTCGTGTATTAATTGTCCCTTTGAAAATGTACTTTGATTCTGTTCATGTATTATCGAGAGGATTGCATACGCAATTTAATACGCCGTGGGACTGTGTAAAATATGAGTGAACATTATGTATAGTGATTTCTCCATGGTCCATATCAGTCTCATAATAAGCCTTGTGTGTATATATATAGAGTGGACTACTGATACTGGATTGGAAATCCTATTGTTCCATATCGTGTCCACATCCTGACGGATATGTGCTATACGAATGGAGCATAACTACCGAAGAGTAAAATTCAATAAAAAACCGCAATCGAGGAGTCTCCTTTCATTTTACCTCTATTCATGTTCAATCACTAAGTGCATATTTTACTGTCGATCATTGAGCCACGAAGCAGAGTATTCCCTCTTTCTATCTCGTAGTGGTCATCGCTATTCAAGTCTAACGGACACACGTCAATTTATAGCATTTATTAATGTATTATTATGATTGTTCATTTGACGTACCACCAGCCAACTATAACGTACGAAGTACCGGGAAAATCCATTTCAACGACCTCGTTTACCTTTTAAGCCGTTAGAAACACTTGCGAAAAGCAATAGAAAGTGGCAGCCTTTAACACCCTTCAATAGGAAGTCTCTCCTGTACGTATCTACTATCCCATGTGGAAAGTGGCTGGTACGAGTTTGAAGTTTCAAGGAAAACACTCAAAGCTTTACGGATAAAGCTTAGGAAAGGATGAAGTAAAAGCTCTCTACTTCTGTTTCCCTCTGCGCACTGAAATCTTCGTATCTTCGCGAGAGTACGATGAGCGTGGCGCGGCTATCCACGTTATACAATACCGGCGTCGATTTGAGAATCTGACAAGAGGAAACTATTTCGTTCGTTAATGTATAAGGGGATATGGTCCGTTCGCGGAGACTAGTAAAGCCGGTACAATACGCGGGCGAATAATTACGTAGAGCCGGGGCCTAGTAGGTGGTCTCAGTACGTTCGACGTACTACGTAGCCAGCAGTAGAGATCTTGCTAGGGGGTTGCTGGGAGGTGTAGGGTAGGGTTGTCAGTATCTACCTACCACTGTGGCCAAAGGCTTACAATACCCAGAGATAGAGAGAGATAGAGAGAGTGAGCCAGGGATGTAGAATGGAGAGGTAGGAGCAGTAGGTATACTCGGAGGGTAGTCAGCCTGAAGGGTGGATGTTCGAGGGCGCGACGAAGGCCGTGGCGGCGGCGGCGGCGGTGGCGGCGGTGGCGGTGCTGCTCACGAAGGTGGAGGTGGTGCCATGAGTTCCAGTGTTCGCGCGGCCGCTCCCTGTCGCACACGGACTCACCCCGACGCTGGCGTCCCGACGCTCTGCTATAGCCGTCGTTGAAAAACGTGCTCGCGAGACGAATCGCTTCTTGTCTTACCGTGGACGATCTCGCGCGTTAACTCCCTCGAATTGATTGGCTGTGCTTAACCTCCTTGTTAAACGGGGGTTCTTCTGAATGCGAGTCTCGTGCACGGGAAAAAGAAAAGGAGAAAGAGAGTAAAGATAAGGGGTGGACTTTTACTTATGCTTGGAAGATTTCGTGCTGGGTCGTTTTGTTCGGAACGAAGACAAGTTTTTGCTGCCGAGTGATAGGGAACGGAACGAATATGGGGGTGTGATAAGGATAGGGGGGTCTAAGGAGAAAGGAGAAAGGTATCAGTGTACCCGAGGAAGATCGTGAAAGTACTTTTATCGTGTCTTGGAGAGCAATCAGGCAACGGATATCGCGCGTCGCCTTTATTGTGAATATATCTTGTTTCTCTTGATTTGTATATATTATCGGGAAAATAAAAAAAAGATTTGAAGGAAATTACATGCAAAACGGTGGGGCTGTGTAGGGTTCTCTGTAGACAATTTTTATGAAAATAAAATAGAGAGAGCTTGGACGTAGTAAGATTTAAGCCTGGTGCATATCGTTTAAAAATTCTGTGGTATTATTTTTATTGAATATATATAAGTGGGCTTTGGGATTTGATTTTTAAAAATTTACGCTTACCAGTTGAACGTCGAATTTCATTAAAGTGACATATCCGTAACGATAACAAAAGTACGTGAACGCGCATACAAAGCATCCCTTCGGTCACGCTGCAATATGTCAACGGCGTTTGTATATGTAGTGAAGAAGAATAGAATCTCGAAGAAAGGTAACACTGTGGTCCTCTGACGTTCCTCGTGTCAGCGCGACACCCTGCGACTGATGGTACAGATTTTACGTGCACTGTGACAGACTTCGTGCATCCTCGTGGATATTCGTCGAAGGGAAAACAAATTTATATAAATGTATACGGTGTAGCGTTAATTGTTGTAATAGAAAATTTTTATATTCTTCCCTCATTTCTTACATCGGTTTTAACGAAGTTCGTTCTCGCGCAGCGATTTCTCGACGTTCCGAAATAAACTTTTGCCACAGCACGGCGGATATCGAGCGAACTTAATGCGCTTCTAATTATTATCACGCGACAAGACGCCGTCGCGTGACTCGTGTCCTCGTAAACTTTACGGAAGAGAGCGAGAGAGAGCGAGAGAGAGACCTGTTGTCCCAGCATATGTAGCTTGGTGGTTCGTCGTTAATTACGAAGTTTAACGACAAGGATCTTTTCCCCGTTAATAAAATTTTATTTTTCTCAGTGCTCATAAACGTATAATTGCGCAATATTATGCTTAATACATCCTAAATATACAGTGCGCGGCGTTTAACGATTGCGGTTGATAAGGCTGTATCGGAGATTGGAGTTATGTCGCAACAACGAAGAGGATCCGCTCGTGGAAGTCCTGTCTCGGGACTTCCTGGACCAAGTGCTGCGGCTGCTGCATCCTCGCAAGAGAATCAGATGAGAGGAATCCCATTGCCTGGAATGGTTCCTTCGCATTCGGTACATGGAAGTCCAATGCACGGGAATCCAATTCACGGGTTTGTCAACCCTCTTGGCCCGGCAGGTCCAGCAGGTCTGGCCCATCCTGGATCTCACCCACTAGCCATACCTGGAATTTCTCATCATCCCTCGAGCGTACACCAAGGTACACCAGAGCACGTCGGTTCGACCAAGACTTTAGATTTTCCATTCTGTTGTAAAAGCAGACGACTGATGGCGTTTTTCGTGTTCGAAAAGAATCTCATTTTCTTCGAGAGTTGTAGAACTACTGGAAAGGGGGGGGGGGGATAAAAGAGAGGGGAGAGAAAAAACAGCAGCCCTCGATTTCACGTATATGTGGGCTGAAGGGCCACTCTCGTTAGTCTTTTTCTCTCTGTCTCTTGCTTTCTTTTTTATCCACCGTGAATTCTAGTAGGCTTCCGGAAAAGTTTGGGAAACGAGTCGATTTAGAGTTTATCCCTAAGGGCATAATTTTTTTTTGTATTCATCTTTGTTTTACCGAGTTTTTAACTTCAATTACATCCTTCTAACCTCTCTGTGTACCATGCTTAAGATTTTGAACGTGTACTTTATTTTTGTCGCACGAGCTCACGCATCTGGATTTCTGCGAATTTTATTTTGAACGTCTATTTTTTTTTTCTCTTATCGCGTATCGCGATATCAGTACATCGAGCGAGTATCTTCTTAAGGTCTAATAAGGAAATCTCTTGCCTTGGTGCACGCCCGAAGGATACGAGAAGATCCCACCAGGCTCTCCGTACTCGTCGCACTCCTCGCCATTGAGAACGCCCTTAAGTTCTGGTCACGGGACGCCGCAAGACTCACCGCATATGGACAGACGCAGAAGAGACTCCGAACACGGTGCTTTGATACCAAGACGGGGCTCGGACGTTATCTCACCGCTATCAGGAAACCATCCAACAGGTTCTCCCGAGCATCGTAGTCGTCGGCGGTCGGATTACACCAATCCTCAGCAGGGTAGGTCATTAACGTGAAAAAAAAAAAAAATTACGGATCGACTTTCCCACGCGTCGCCAAGAGTTTACGAAGAGTTTAATAAAATCGTGGATAAGGACGGGAGGGGGTGGCGAACCAGTGTTATCGGTTCTCCAAAATTTCATTACAAGTAATTATCGAGTCTTGCACCTCGGCAATTATATTTGCCCCACGTTCGACCTCGGCTATGTAATCGTTGCGCCACTGATAAAACTTTTCTCTATATATTATGTATTTATAGGAACGTCACTTATATTACTATATAAGTTTCTATGGTATATACGTAATATAGTCGTTATCATATACCGTGGTACATGGAACCGTAAGCGGATTATTGCATCGGGCCGATACGCAGAGTGCAGCAGCTTTGGTTCATCGACGGGCAATTCGAATGGGTGTACCGATGTGTCCAGTGCCATTTCAGGAAGTTCCTCGCCATACTGTTACGATCATCGTCTGGAGCAGGTTTATCCTGGGCACTGGGCCTGTGCCTATAGCACAGCCAGGAGTTTTATTATTCTCGCCAGCACTCGTCCTCACGCGATACCTCGAGTGAAACTGACCAATCGCAGCCACAGTCCGAAGTCCTAACTACGTTACGTGATGCGGGTAGCCCCGTTAGGTGTTGAGAAGCGAAGAGGGCTGTACACGTGTAAATATATGTATATATATATTTATACATAGTGAGCATGCTAAAAAGCTTTTTAAGATAGCCACCATAATTTTCAGCTGCCAGTATGCATTAACTGCCTTTCTTGCAGAAGTTAGTGTTGACGAAGATAAAGGTACATAGAAAAAGAAAAAAGGTAATATAGGGAAATTTGCAATCGATGCATTTAAATGCACTGTGGTTACGTCACAATTCGTAGTTATTATTTTTGTGCGCGTATGACGGATCCTGCTCTGGGAAGATACGCGTGGGACTTTATGCATATGATGCATATGTCTGTAAGGTTAAGTATAGTGATATGATATTTTTATATATTAGTCAATATCGATTTTTTTTTTTCATTGAATTCTTTAAAAGTGTTTCTCTTATTTTTAAACGTATATGGATTCATTGGGAAATATTAATTTCTACGAGTACTCGTTTTGTTTCTAATTAAATTTGTGACGTTGGTAAAGTCAAGGCTGGTTCGTATGTGAATATATCGGTTTGGTTGTACTAGGAATTCCTTGAAAGTTCCCGGAATATATATCGGTCTAACAAATTATGAAAGTTTGTTCTTTTTTGGAAGAATCTACGGAGTCTGTTCATTCCAACGAGTGGATGCCGTCATGGAGTGGCGTAGTACCGAGTTAATGCTCGTAGATGGCAGCATTCACGTACGACTCAGTTAATAATTAACGAGACTCGCGCGTCCTCGTTGTTACGATCGTGACGCCTGTCGACTAGTGCAACGGGACACTTTTGTATCTAAGGGTATTCGCGGATAAGCGAAGAATTTAATCTCGTGATGATTATTGTCTTGATCAAAGTTTCCAACTCTTGAGAATTGTGTAAGTCTCTGTAGCAGTCTTGGAGGCTTGCGTATGTTAATACGGCACGAGATCTCCTTTCCCCCAATAACACGCAAGCGGAAAGATCGCGCGCGGAATTCTAACCGGTTGATGGCTGAAGTTCTTGGTTTAATAGTTTTTTTTTTTTTTTTCCTTTTACTGTACATTTTTTTTTCTCAGGACAACGTAGAATGTACAATGACTTGCATAAAGACGCTTTCACATTAAAATACATCAAAGTTTCCGCAAGGTGGATATTCCTTTTCTGATTTGAACGTTCTGCTTTAATGGGGTAGTTGGAAGTAGCCTGAGGCACGACACGAGAGGATGGCAGATTTGCGTGAAAGGCGATGCGCGGCATAACGTTGGTTTTTCTTATGAGATTTTGAAAATCACGTATTTCGTAATGATTGAGACCGAGTGTGGAAATTCGCGAGTGAGATTTTCGAGACGGCCACCCTGCATCCCTGCAACAGGAGATGAGGTTGAAGATGGAAATAGCGAAATCTCATCTTTCCAACGATTCTATAGAAAATTGTCAAAGAGGTCATTGGTTTTTTGAAAATCGGTATAAAATCCTAGATTGAGGATCTGTTCGTGTTCGCGTTGGATGTTGCGATTTTTGACTGTTAATGTTATTTTTAATTCGCATTTATAGAGTCCGAATGGGATGGTATAGTGTTGAGGTAGCGAAAAGGGGCGGCGGTGGAGATAATAGGGGGTAGGTCTGGAAATTTTGAAAATCTTGAAAAAAGCTAGGGGAAAACTTTTGCAAATCCATGGGCTGAGTGGGGGGTAGGCTGAGCCTTCGGTCAACTTTGGAAAAGCCTAATCCGAAAAAGCCTCTAGGGGTCGGTCTCCATATTTTATCTAATGAATTGGAAATCCCTAACGTTCAATACGCCGGATTATTCTGTAATGCTGGTGGACGAAGGAAATGAATGTTTTTTATTTGCTAAAATCTCTATGGTAAACTTTTGCCATTTTTCAAAAAGAGACGGAGAGAAGGGCTTACCCTTACATGGCAGTGCGCTAGAGATTTTGCTGACTTGCAGCGGATGAAGGTAAAGAGAAAAGAGAAGTAAAGGGAAAGAGGAAAAGAGACGAGCGATGCAATAAATAATAATGGGGTAGCCGTATTAAATTCCCCAACAATATGCCGGCATGGTGCCCTTATTAAATCCCTATGTCACTGCAGCGATCCAGCCAGTCATCCAACCAGACGGATGCTGAGTATTGGATAAATTTCAAATTTATCTATTGATTTTACGAGACCTATTCAAATCGCTTAATATTTGATCACAGAAAAAAAAATATTGATAGACAAAATTTCAAAATTTTATTAACCTGCGATCCCGAAGCTATAAGGAAATTTGTTGATCAATCATTTCGTCAGACATTACTTTTCACTGAGGCATTCGCGAAGCTTAAAAATTTTCTATTTTCATCTCGAGAGAAATTCCAAGCAGAATACAAACTCGATGAAATTGTCTTGTTATCCTTACCCAGTATGTACACTTGTATTTGCGAAGCTTAACGTTTGCAAACTGCGTCATGCTGTTGCGTTGAATCCAGAGAGAAAATGCATCCAAAGGATCGTTCTGGGATTTCGCGAAACCGGCTTGTAAATTCGTACGCGGTTTATCCACGGTAAATATTATTTTCACGTGCGTGCTATACCGGCGCTTCACAAGCACGAGATAGAATCCACTCTTCTTCGTAAGAAATACCATGGGAAACTTCTCGACCATTTTCTACATAGCAGAAAACTATTTCCCGGTGTATGTCGCACGAACATTCCCCAAACGTAGGAAATTCACACTGCAAGCGAAACCCCGTGCTTAACTTTATACCCTTTATTTTCTAATTATAAATCTCTGACGTCATCCATACTCCAGAATATGACTTAAACAGAAACCAGTTGAAAGATATCTACAATTTAACTAGAATAATTCATTACGATATTCGTTTGAGTGTACAAGTAAATAACGAGCCATGTCGAAAGGCGCCAAATTCAAATTATCCAAATAAAATCTTGCGTTTCACTAGTGTCCACGTTGTTGATGTAGCCAATAAAGAAGACAAACTGTGCAATATGCAATCCCGGCGTTGCAATGGGTATCGAAGTGGCGGCCGCAGAACCGCCGCTGGACACGCGAAAATTATTCCCGGCCCGAAAACACGCGATCGTGAAATATCGTTCCCGGTCTATGCGCCATCCAATCTCGCTGCTCGATACTCCGTGTGCGCCGTTTAGGACGTGCCGCTGTCTCCGAAACAGTGAGAAGAGGCGTACGAAAAAAAAGAGGAAAGGAAAAAGTCGAACGAGTAGGGAAAGAGAGAAAAGGAATTGGGACCATCGTTCACGATCACCTTCTGATTATAGGGGACGATGTATCCCCTGTTTACGTACACGAATACGAGCTTTCACAAGGGTCTTTGTATAGGGGTAGTTGGTTTCATCGATACACCCTGGCACCTTCGTGCTTTTTTCAAACTTTACTGAAAAATATTACAGTGTCCCCCCCCATTTTTTCCATCCCTCTCAACCTCATCCACCTTGTCTCTGACGCTGCTGTTCATCCTGTATTCGATTTTCCTTGGAAAGATGGGCGCGATGGCTTTTTCGCGTAAACTCAATCGAAACGCAATCATGAAACGCTTGATGACTTTCTGTAGTTATAATTACGTCCTGCGTCTCGTTAATTTCCTAATTCGGAAACTCTGAATGACATTCGAGAAAGCCTAGGCGCTGGACAACATGTCGAGTAGCTGCTAAATTGCGTTTCTCTCCTGTGAAAGGGATGGAAAGCGGACTGGGCAAAAAATATAATAGAAAAGAAAGCGTATCTCGGGGGGTATGACCACGGCGTTGAAAACTTCGTAATTAAAGGGAGGTTTGCTGCATTTTTTTTTCTGTTTCCTTTTTCTTTCTCCACGGCGACAAAAGAAAAACAGGGGAAATGGGTGGAGCATCATTTTAGATGAAAACTAGGCGCATTCACTGTCTACGAATACATCTGGAAATTTGTCTTTCTCAGTAAAGTAAAAGTACAAAATTACGTGAAATAATATTAATGAATAAGAAAAAAGAGAATTTAAAAAAAATGGATAATTCTATATAGCTACAATTCGGATCGTAAAAGAAAATCTACATATCCATTAATTCATGCTATTACACAGATATTTCAATGAAAAATAGCTTTGTCTGCATATTTATTTTTTGGTGACTTTATCTAAACACACGTTTAAATATATTATACCGTTTCACGGTACTCCTTCACTGTCGATATTGAATTCCAGTTGCGCAAGCCGATTTACTTTACACCGACCAGTTAGGCTGCTCTAATCGCATTAGACCCAACTGAAAGTTCCCAGGGGTGTTCGTAACGCCATCCACTATAATTTTAATAACCCTTCCAATTATACGTAAATCC